ATAAAATAAGGGACAGTGGTACTCTCCTCTCCCTATCGCCACCTATGCTGATGGCAACAAAAATGATGGGAGACAAGGTCTGTGAACTTAGAATGCTGTTCCTAGGCTATGAAGGAAATTCAGCCTGTGTATTAAGTGCATCTAGAAAAGTAGTTATTCCCCTTTATTCAGCACTGGTGAGGCCACATCTGGAGTATTGTATCCAGTTCTGGGCCCCTACAGTATAGAAAAGATGTGAACACATTGGAGAAGTCCAGTGGAGGGCAACCAAAACTATTAGGGGGCTGGAGCACATGACCTATGAGGAGAGGTTGAGGGATTTGGACTTATTTAGTCTGCAGAAGAGAAAAGTGAGGTGGGATTTGACAGCAGCCTTCAACTTCCTGAAGGGGGTTCCAAAGAGGATGGAGAGAGGCTGTTCTCGGTAGTGAGGGATGACAGAAGAAGGAGAAATGGTCTCAAGTTACAGTGGGGGAGGTCTAGGTTGGACCTTAGGAAAAACTATTTCACTAGGAGGGTGGTGAAGCACTGGAATGGGTTACCTAGGGAGGTGGTAGAATCTCCAGCCCTAGAGGTTTTTAAGTCCTGGCTTGACAAAGCCCTGGCTGGGTTGATTTAGTTGGGATTTGTCCTGCTTTGGGCAGGAGGCTGGACTCGATGACCTCCTGAGGTCTCTTCCAGCCCTAGGATTCTATGATTCTATGATTCTAAGAGCTGTAACTTACCTGCAACATCTAGTGAGATGAAAAAAGCTGTTTGATTCAAGTCTTACTGAATCTTAAATCTTAGGATTTAGACTCAGACTTTATTTTTATTTCTTAGATAATCTATCTTTGATTTGTATGCCTACCACTTATCATGATTTAAAAACTATCTCTCTGTAGTTCATAAACTTATTTTAGTATTTTATCTTTACCAATGATTTGTCTAATGTGTTTGGGGAATATGCTCAGATTACAAACGTTGGTTCATGTCTGCTATCCTTTGACAAAGTGGCAAACTAATTAATGAGTTTGCATAGTTCAAGAGAAGGTCTTAAGTGGTATAAGACAATGTATTTCTGTGGTTCAAGGTGAGGGATTAGAGGGATTTGCTGGTATTTCCCTATGCACAGTTCATTAATGGCTTGGTGAGTGTTCATGCAGCATAGCTGGGTGTGTCTCTGCATGTTGGTGGCTGAGTGATAATAGTGCCTGGAGAAGTTTGCTGCTTGTCACTAGCAAAGTATAGTGAGAGACAGCCCATGCAGAAGAGTTAAGAGGGCACAGTGGTCCCACAGTTCCAGCTTGTACACTGTGGATCTCATCACACACACTTCCATACTGCAGGACATTTGAATTGGTTAGAAGGCCAAATTACCCAGACTAACTGGGAAAGACTGTCTTCTACAGGGTAAGTGTAATGTTGGAGAGCTAAAGCCACACTCTTACAACCGGGCCCCAGTGCAGAGTGTGTCTTATAATTGCCACTTGAAATTTTCAAAGATACTTGGCAGCTAATTGTGCATTGTAGTTATGCCAACCCCCAATGTGCACCATATCCCCATCTCTCTCCCTCTATGCCACCAAATTGACACTTGCCAAATGCAGGCTTGGTACAGTAAAGTGAAGTTGTATTGCAGGAGCTCTATGGGTCAGTAAGAACCAAGGAGATGAACGCAGCAGGGATAGACTGTGGGCTGAAAGAGTTTGAAGGCAACTTAGAAGAAAGGCTTTCCTCCAAGACATTTCTGAAACTACCCACTAGTGGTGAATAAAGGTTTTTTTTTTCATATATATTTTCCAGATACATGGGCTATGTCTACACTCGCAGCTTCTTGGGCGAGTAATATGCAAATGATGCTAAGCGTAGAATATCGCCGAGCCTTATTTGCATACCTAATGAGACACCATTTTTTTCAGAAGAGGCTCTTGCACAAGAAGGAGAGTCTACACTGCCCCTTCTTGCGCAAGAAAAACCCTCTTGCGCAATGCCGTTACACCTATTACTTGACAGGAAGAACGGCATTGCGCAAGAGGGTTTTTCTTGCACAAGAAGGGGCAATGTAGACGCTCCTTCTTGCGCAAGAGCCTCTTCTGAAAAAAATGGTGGCTCATTAGGTATGCAAATGAGGCTCGGCGATATTCCACGCTTAGACTCATTTGCATATTACTCGCGCAAGAAGCCGCGAGTGTAGACATAGCCTGATGTTTTAAAATGCTGTTTAATTTTCAAGAGTGTTGCTGTTGTTTCTTCAGGACTCCTGATCTCTATTAGTAATTCTATTCATACAGTTTTGTTTATTAAATATATGTGTCAAGGGAAATGATTTCCTTCTATTTGTAGGCTAGATTGAAGGCATTGTAGACTGATGTTCTGTGTTTTAAAAAACAAAACATATGGAAATGAGATCAAAGAAACCTATGAGCGGGGAATGCTCATAACTTCTGGCTGCCATATTCATTTCTTATTTGTATTTCTGTATTGCTGATTTGAAAATAAAATAAACCAAGCATCCCTTTGAAACCCGTTAAGATTTTAATGCACAAAAATGGTATTTTAAACATGCCAAATTTAATGATAGTTTTATGCGAGCAACTGTGGCTATGAAGTACTATGGACCAATCCTACTCCTAATTACATCAGTTGTGGATTTACACCAATATAGAGCAGAATTTGATCCCATATAGATTGTTTGTTTGTTTGTTTGTTATCTTTAGAGTTTTATCTCCATTTGTTGAATTCACCATTTTTGTTGGAAGTCTTTACTCAAGTCAAAAGTTTACTTCTTATTCAGACTCAAATATGGTACTGATACCATGGTGGCAAGAAAGTAGTGCTGCTGTAGGGTGATGACTTGCACTTACGGCTAGTCTAAAAATTGTTTAAAAGAAGGATTGCTGAAGAGAATTTTCCTCTTCTATATCTAGTTTTCCGTACTGATTTATGTCCAGTCACCCATCTTTCCCACATGTAGGAAAACTATGTCCTTTCTATATGCTAGCAATGTGAATCCTGCTTTGTAAAAATAATCAGGTCAGACATCACCCACTGGAAAAATATTGTTGTTGAGCTGTTCTTCTAAGTGAGCAAGTGGTGAGACAGACCTGATATGAGCCAGTGTACCAGAAAATGTTTTTGTTCCAGGTATTACACTTGTTCTCCATTTGAGCAGCAAATATCTATTCTTAATTTTTGTTGCTCAGTTAGCCAAGGGCAGAAATCAAACACCTGTTCCAGCCATTGTCCTTCACCACCAGGACCCATTAATCTGTCAAATGAGGCAGCACATCTCTATTTATTCTTTAATTGATTGGCATTAGAGAGTTCTAATTGAGCTTGTAAAATGAAACTGGGAATGTCTTAGATCTGATTGGCTATTTAGGGTTCAGAGCACTGATGGATAACCTCATTGACTGGAGCTATCAGTCTTGAAAATGTTATGAGTAAATGCAAAAAAATAGCTATTAAAAATCCATAACACTCTAAAATGAATGATTCTCTGAGCTAAACTCCAATTCATGACCTACAGTGCAGGAGGGAGCAAAATCAAGTTGTGAAAAGACAACAAAATCAGCCAAGCTAAAAAAATAAAAAATATCCAGTTTTTTTCTGATCTTATCTGAAGGAACATAGCAGAATGGTTATGATGTGGCAATATTTAAAGATTGACTTGCTGAAAAAGAATAATAATTGATTTTCAAATTGTTGTACTGGAAGAGAGAGGTATAATTTTAGCAAAGTTTCATGGAACTGTCTGTTCAGCCACAACTAAGCTGTATGGAGTCTCAAGTTTCATTAGCCCTTGAGATAGTATAAAAGTCATTTTAAATCCCTCTTAATTTCTGAGATAAATAATAAAATTGATTAATGGTTTTAGCTTCATTCCAACCAATAGTGTATTTATAGGTGAAATTAAAACATTAAAAAGCCAAAATAATAAATAAACTCAACTTCTACTATGCAATACAATATTTGATCTCAGTCATTATGCTCAATAAGTCAGTCTTTAAAGACCCCTTTAGGCTTTGCACTAGAAGTCTGATTTAAAACAGGCATACCTCTCTCTTTGTAAATCTATATATATCAAAATGATATGAAACAAAATATTTCATTTAGATTTTGTCAAGAGTAGACTCAAACTTTTTAAGTGAAGCTGCGATTTCTCTTGAAACATTTTGATTTTGAAGAATCTCCATTTTCCATTGCAAAATTCCCGAGCAGTGATAATTTTTGTGAAAAAGGAGCACGTGGAATTAGTAACATATTTTAAAAACATCTAAGAGATTTAGAGTCTGTCCAATTGAAAGTCAATTATATTTATGTTCCTAAATACTTGTGACAAATTTGAAAATGCAATTTAGGTTTCTAAGTCATTTAAGCTTTTACAATATTTTATTGACTGTAAAGTCTCAATTACTAATTTGACCCAGGCCAAAACCAAAATCCCAGTCAAAACACTAGTGTAGTCTGGGCATTCAGGTTCCCACTCAAAAGATAGCTCTGTCCCAGCTCTCTTTACTAATACAAGTGTTGTGATGGGCCATGAATGTCTTATTAGAAAAGAGCCCCAAAAATAAATTGCCACAAGAAAAGAGAGTTCAATTAAAAAAACATTAGTGTATGTGAGGGATAATATTGATGTTAATCAAACTCAGTGAGTTAATCTGACAAGTGGTGATAGTGCTCACAGAATGATGAAACATTGCAAAATTAAAGGCAGATCAGAAAAGAATAAGATGCCAGCCTCTATTACTACTTTTCAGAAATTAAATACACTGTCTAGATAACATCCACACTGCACAAATAAGCCTAAAAGAAATGGGAAATGTTATGATGTCCAAATATTGTTGTTATATGGTTCATATATATCTATGAAGACAAAAGAAACATTATACAAAACCATTATTTTCACTCTGTGGCATACTTTGGCATCCTACTAGACATAGTTGTCTAATATAGTTATATTGCTTTCTGTCCACTGAGATAAGAATCATTCATGTATGATATAGTTTGGCCAAAGTCACGTTTAATATAGTATTTTTGCAGTGTACATTGGGACTCAGGTTTTTTCACATCCTATGCAGTTGAGTCGATTATTGAAGTATTTGGAACATACATAAGCATCCCTCTAGCTCAGAGGCTTCTGATCTTCTGGTTCCCCGAATAAGTCCTGTGTACTGCTGCCTGACAGAGGAACTGCATGAAAAACATCTCTTTCTGATTTGAAGATTGGGTTTTAATGTGAACATTAATTTTCTGTGCATGGGGAAGGAAGGACTTATGAATTCATCTTCAAATTCAGTAGCTAAAAACACAAATGAAAATGAAATTAAAAATTCCACCTTTCACAAATAATGAAGCCATCAGAAAGTATAACACTGCACACAGAAATAGGGGCACATTATGCAAATACATTGCAAAGGATCTTAATAGATAGGAACCTCTCAGTCTATGCAATTAAAATGTACTGTGTGTAATTAAAATTAATGTAATTAAAACATCTCAGCACCGGAGTTCAATTATGTCACTCAAATGTTGCTTCTCAATATATCAAAATTACATTTCAGTAATATGAAGAAGATAATCTCCACCTTCCTCTGGTTTAATAAACAGCTGAGACCAAAACAGAAAAAAAAAATCCTAAATTATATGCATCAACAATAAAAATGGAACTGTTTCTCCTAACTTGCAACTTTTTGCTTCACACGGATCTGTATTTTAATGCATACCAAAAGCACTGAAACACTGAACTTCTCAAAGTTAAAAGACCCAGTAATTGCTGATTTAGTCCATTAACCTAATTATACACCATTAATTAATTAATTAAAACACATTTTCAATATAGAGACCATTTTTGTGGGAGTTTTCTGGGAAAAATCATAGAAGCGGTTGGCATATTGGACAAACAGAATGCAAGACAGTCTATTGATGTTTTCAGATATACTAAGGGAATGTTGTGCTAGTCAGAATGAAAAATACAGGAATAGAAGAGGTAACTAACTAGGTCAGGTGATTAGTAGAACTTGCAACTTTACAAGCTCCTGAAAACTGGCATCTGGTAATTTTGGTAGACATGGTAATTTATCTTATAAAATTACCCACTCACTGATTTTACCACCTGTAGGTTACTGTTTCAGTATGAAAAGTAGAGATTGCTTCTGACTACATTCTCAATGTGAGAAGTGATACATTACTTTATAAAAGGTGAATATGGACTCTAAAATGGTTGAAAGTAAGCAAAAGGGAATAGTTGAAACACTGTCAAAAGCTTTCACCATCTATTATATATTTTATAGAGTTTGTGCATCTTTCTGTCTGTCTGTCCATCTGTGAGTCAGTTTGTTCAAGAACTCCTTCTAAATGGTAGGAGCTAGGACCATCAAATATGGTATGCAGCTTCTTCCTATCATAGCCTAAAGGGAGGCCAGTGGTTGGTTGTTCCAGGACAATGGGATGTGTGCGGAATGTGATAGCAGGGTCATGAATAACCAAAGGGGAGGTGGCAAGCATGGGGTCAGTTATACCCCTATATGAGCACAGGAGCAGAAAGTGCCCCAGTCCTGAGGGGCAGAAGCCAATTGGCAGCAAGAACCCAGCCACCATGGCCTCCCCAGGGTGCAGCTGCTGACAGAGCCACATGGCCTCTGCAGCCATAGACCCAGGGAGAAGCCAATGACCAGACTGTGCTGTCCCCCTGCCATAGCCTGGACCCGAGGAGAAGCTGCATGGTCCTATCACTTCAGCCCAACCTGACCCCAGGAAGAGATCAGCAGATTCCCCTTCCTACTCTCAAGAGACCCCTGATCCCTCCTAACCATCTGCCTTGTCTCCTGCACCCCTCCCCATGCCCTGAGCCCCCACTCACTTCTCTGATTCCTGCACCTTCCATCCCCTACCCTGAGCTCCTCCTTACCTGCTCATCCTGATTCCTACACCTCCCAAACCCCCAGCCTCCTGCCCTGAACTCCCCACATCCCCAGGCCCCTGTCCTGACTCCTGAACACCCCCCCCCCCACACACACACACACCCTAACCCTCTGCCCTGAAGGACCTGACCAATGCCAGGTGAATGTTAGTAATAACTATTTCAGAAATGTTTTTCAATTATTTTTGCAATAAATGTCTTATTAATCAAGGCTTTCTTTTTCTGCCTTCCTGTAGTTTTTAAAACTGTACAGAAAGTCATATTTTCTTAAACTGTATTTCATCAAAGCCTGATACACTTTTATTTGAAGTTTAAATTCTGTAAATACACTGGTGACTGATGAAACGCAGTTTGCCTGCAGGAAATAACATCATGCAGATGTCCTTTATTTTCTGAAGGCTCTTGCTCTCCATTCTCCAATTATCTCCACCGCTGTGCCTTCCAAAAAAGACTTCAAGGTTAAATCCAGGTCTCTCAACCAACTACATACTTAATAGGTGAGTGCAGTTATTTTATTTTCAGTGATTTTTATCTTTACAACCCATTCTCAACACTCTCAGCTAAACACGGGAAATACAAAATCCAGTCAACATGGTGGGAAATGAGTAGCAGGCAGAGAATTGAACACATAATGTTTTGGAACAAATATGTTCTAAAACCTCAAGGTTCCTATTTTAGTGTAGTTAAGAAATCAAAATATTTAGTCAAGATTTAAAAATGAAAATGAAGTAACCAAATTCAAAGTGTTGGTATCTGAATTGTGAGCAGAGTGAAGAAGTGGTGACAACAGAGATGCCTGTAGTAGAGTGTTTCAGAATAACAAAATGAGAAGGGAAAAGATCCCAACAAAAACAGGACACGATAAGACCGTAATAATGGTGATATGGGATCAGGCCATTGTCTAGCCCATTATCCTGTCTTCCAGCATATGGAAGATGCTTCAGAGGAAATAAACAGAATTGTCGACTATCCAGTGAGCCATTTCCTGTCAGCCACTTCCAGCTTCTGGCAGTTAGAGGCTGTGAGAACAGGGCTGTAACAAGGGCAGGCAAGTGGGGCGCTCGCTCTGGGCTCATCATAATCAGGGGTACGTCTAGACTTCTGAACACTCCGTCGACGGAGCCATGTAAAATGTTTATTCAGCATAGTCAAAGAAGCAGGGATTTAAATAATCCCCGCTTCATTAAAATAAAAATGGCCACTGCACTGTGCCAACTATCAGCTGATCTGGCAATCTAGACGCAGTGCGGTTGACAAGGGAAGCCTTTGTGAGGCATACCGGAGCAGTCGACAAAGGCTTTCCTTGTTGGACATGCCGTGTCTAGACTGCCATGCTGTGCTGGATCAGCTGATCTTCGGCACAGTGCAGCGGCCATTTTTATTTTAATGAAGCGGGGATTATTTAAATCCCCGCTTCTTTAACTATGCTGAATAAACTATTTTATTTATTGTAGCATAGATGTACCCAAGGGATGCAAAGTTTCAATAAATAAAAATAATACGCTGCAAAGTGCAACATATACTATCCTAAGGAGAGAGGGTGCATAATTCATATTTTGCCCCGGGAGCAAAAATACCTACCTATAATAGATGGTTACGGCTGAGTGAGAATAATATATATAAAAGTTTCTCCTGGATAAAATATTATATTACTTCTCTATCATACAGTTTGAACAGGAATTTATAGTGCTCTAGTAAATGAAATAATTAATTCACACTACTGTGGCTCTTTTGGGGTTGAGCACTAATTTGACTCCTGAATCACTGAGGTCACTGTTCTAAATAATTATTACTTGCATTTATGTGACTATACAGTGGTGTAACCTGTCACCACTTTCCTCTATTCATTGTTTTTTGCTAACACTTGGGCAGTATCCTGGTTATTGATTAGCCCAGTATCGATAATGTTTTGGGGTGCTCCATAAGTAAAAATAGTATCTGTTGATTTCAGATGAAAATTTAAATGTTTACTCCTGTCAGGGCTGGAAATCTAAAAGAAGTAACACAGCTATGAAAGAGTAAGATGGCTCTTGTATCATCAACAGAGTCATGCACGAAATCCTGATTAAAGTATCTTTATTTTTGGTAATAATTTGTAAGCCAGACAGAACTCATTTTGGTTCCAGCACCTAAATTGTGTTTTCACAACTGGGATTTAGAAAAAACATCATCTTGTTTGTAAACTTTATACAGAAATCATTAACAGACAAAAAATATGTACCCCCACGTGCCATTTTTACAGAATTTTTTCAAGGAATAAATGAACATTAATGAGAACCATGGGATATACAGATACATTTTAAAAGAGAGAATTGCATCTCACTAAATTCATGACACTAATTAGCGTTTTTTTCTTTAGTCCCTGATAATGGGAACTATATGAGAGAAACATATTTTACTATAAACAGACAGATTGAAAAGCATCATCTAATTTATGTCTCTTCTTTGTCTTGGAAACAAAAAGAAATAAATAAGAACTGCCTTCTGTTGTGGGAATGACAAATAGTGTCTTTAGCGGTAAACGTGTCAGTCAAAGACAGAGTAATTAAAATTTAAGTTCTTAAAAGTAGTTAGTCAGCTAATCATTACAAAAGCTAAATCTGAACTGCTTAAAAGCACAGGTGGTTTATGGGCATTTAATACTTTAGTTCAGCAAATTGCTGTTGCTAATAGAGGCTGAAAAATGTTGTTGGTAAGCACAACACATTTTTCCATAATACTGATTGTACATCATTGTAATCTACAGATAGGAATTGTGTGCACTGCATATAACAGAAGGCCAAGGAATGAGCCCAGAGGAACACCAACCAATTATAATTATGCCTAATGTTTATTTATTAAATTTCTATTGTAGGCACACTGTTTAAGAGCAATAAATCACATTCTAAGCTGTTATTAATGAAAATATGGGAACAGAAGGAACTAGAGTGGGGAAATGATTCTCAAAATATGAACCAATCTGTTGGCAGGATGCAGTCACCAAAGTGAGCTCCCATATTCCACTTGTCATTTAGGTGGGAATATAATAAAATAATAATGGTTCAAGACATGTAGCTACTCATGGTAGGTTTTTTTATGCATGCATGGGGCACACGGAGTGAAAAGAATCCTTCATACCCTAGGAGTCTTGCACCATGCGCAGCCATAAAGCAGTTGTCTTCGCTCCCAGAATGGAAGGGGCAAAGGGTGAACATTGCAGAGAGCGCTCTGCATGGAGTGGGCTGTCTGGATTGGATATGACCATCGCCACTGGTTTGAAATGTGGGCACTGTGCTGAAGAAACACAGACTAAGGACACTATGCCTGCTTCTAACTACTCTAGGCCTAATGTCTCCAGATATCATAGCTGCCCAGATAAACACAAGTGGGTTTCTTTGTAGCAAATAGGCATTAATTATGAGTAGGGCCCTACCAAATTCACAGCCATGAAAAATTCATCCCAAACTGTGAAATCTGGTCTCCCCCCTGAAGTCTGGCAATTGTGTGTGTGTGTGTGGGGGGGGGGTCATTTATGGTATTATTGGCACCTATACGTATGTGCTGCTTTCAGAGTAGTGGCTGTTGGCTGGGCAGCACTGCCACCAGCAGCAGCACAGAAGTGAGGAAGGTGTGGTATGACTTTTGTGGGGAGGAAGGGATGGCATTATGGGTGGGCAACATGATGAGGGGTGGTGCTACGGTCACCACACACAAACACACACACCACTAGCCCCAGGCCTATTTAACACAGAATCACTTGGAAGAAGTGAGGCGGGTAGAATGCTAGCCAGCGACTCCTACCAGTCACAGGTCTCTAGCTACTAGCCACAGCTGGGCTACAGAGAGATGGAGTTTCCTCTTCCTCTGCACGAGCCACTCAGACCTGCCTCTGGTGGCAGCACAGAATTAAGGGTGGCAATAACATGCTAGGCCATGCTCACTGCCAGTGGTGCTGCTTTTAGAGCTGGGCTCCCACCAGTGGCCAATTCTCTCCAGCTGCCAATTTCTGAAGGCAGTGCCAGCAGCAGCAGCAGTGCAGAAGTAAGTGTTTCAATACCACAACTCCCACTATAATAGCCTTGCCTCCCCTCCAACACACTAAATACTTTTTGTGTCAGGACCCGACAGTTACAACACCACAAAATCTGATTTAAGTACCTGAAACCATGAAATTTAAGATTTTAGAAATCATGTGACTGTGAAATTCTCCAGAAAGGACTGTGAATTTGGTAGGGTTCTAATGATGAGCCCATCAGAGACTAAGGCTACGTCTACACTGTGGCCTTCTTCCGGAAAAGCTTATGCAAATGAAGTACGGAGTGGAATATCACCACACTTCATTTGCATAAATAATTAGCCATTTTTGTGCAAGAGGTTTTTGTTCAAAAAGGAGCTGTGTAGACGGCTCCTTTTTGCGCAAAAACTCCTCTTGCGCAAGAGCCGTTCTTCCTCATTTTTTCAGCACTTCATTTGCATAAGCTTTTCCAGAAGAAGGCTACAGTGTAGACGCAGCCTAAGAGGATCAGGAAAGATGAAGTATGGTTTGCTCATTGATGTGACCATGGAAACAAGGGGTGTGTCTCGACTACAGGTTTTTTTTTAAAAAAGTGGCCTTTTTTGAAAAAACTTCCCCTGTGTCTAGACTGCTACCACGTTCTTTCGAAATTAAATCGAAAGAATGAGGCAGTTTTTTTGACCACGGCAAACCTCATTTTAGGAGGAAGAACACCTTTTTTCGAAAGTGCTTTTTTGAAAATAGGTGTTCTTGAATGCAAAAAGGGGCTTTTTCGAAAGAGAGCATCCAGATTGCTTGGGTGCTCTCTTTCGAAAAAGTGGCTCACTTTTTCGAAAGAAGTGGTTGCAGTCTAGACGCTCTCTTTCAAAGAGGCTTGTAGTCTAGACATAGCCAAGGAGACACATAGACCATAGCATTGAATAAATGTGCAGGTGGCAATGTTATCAAAGTGCGCAACCAACAGGGAATCGCTCACCAAATTACTTGGTGGGGATAGTTCTATTGTGAATTTTGCTGGGGCTTGGATGGTAGCAAGTTCTGTAAATTTGTGGAGGGGTATGAAAGCAATGCCTTCTAGCCTCTTTGGCTACCAGTGAGGATCTCTGGACAGACAGACCCGAGTCCCTGCCCACTATTTTCCTGCACCCAGGAGGTAAATGAAATGAGATGAGAGCCACATGCTGTACCAGACATAGACACATGCCCCTGACTGGATGCAGGCCCAACAGCCAATTGCATTACAGGGACCTACCATTAGATCCTTTTAAAACCATACCTCTGCAGTAGGACTTGCCGAAGTTGCAACCATGTAATAGAAGTCCTCCAACTGGCCCTTCCAGATGCTCGAGGGAAGGGGGAAAAAATCCTCACACAAGCAGTTGGCTAATTTTCTGTATGAGAAAAAAAAATCCCTTGCTTTGATCGAAGCAATAAATCCAGCAGTGCCCCGCTGCTATATATATATATATATATATATATTGGAAACCACTTCAAGCCCAAGGGTGCTGCCATACCCGGAGCACCTCTAATTCCAGCACCCCTGCACACCTGGGATCTCTCCCTCTACTCAGAAAAAAGCAAAGCGAGAAGATGGCTCCATTATCTCCAGACTTATCAAAGACTCACCCCAGCTAGCAAGGTGGGCATTCTGATAAACTTCCCATGCTTCATATGACAAGGGATTGCCAGTCTTACTGCCCATAAGTAAGATTTCCCATTATTTTTACAAAGAGAAGTATTAAATGGCCTTTGGCTTATTCAGAATTGTAATTTTAAGTGTAAAGGCACAAATACAAATAATGAATAGCAAACTTTATGAGCCAAAATCTGCTCTCACACATACTAGCTTCAGTTGCATGCAGATCTGAGGTCAGAATTTGGCATTATATAAAATTAGCTATGTTCTGCCATATGAAGCAGACAAGTTCAGGGAATAAGCCCTTAAAGTGAAAACTGAATACATATCACAACTTGATTGTGCTTAATGTCATTGCATGATAGGTTGATATTAGGTCTAGATTGGATATTAGGAAAAATTGTTACACTAGGAGGGCGGTGAAGCACTGGAATGGGTTACCTAGGGAGGTGGTGGAATCTCCATTCCTAGAGGTTTCACTTTCTGGCTTGGCAAAGCCCGGGCTGGGATGATTTAATTGGGATTGGTCCTGCTTTGGGCAGGGCATTGAACTTGATGACCTCCTGAGGTCTCTTACAACCCTATGATTCTATGATTTACCATTCTGTGTTGTCAGACCTATCTGAAGAAGGGGTTTTTTGGATACATATTTTGGCCAAGTGGTCTACAGTACCTGTTTGTATATAAGTCTATACCTAAGTGACATTTTAGCTACCTCATTTTGACAGACCAATCTTGAGTGTCTGCTTGTGATAATATTCTGGATATAATAGAGACTCTTATAGTACCTGTAATTAACATTACAACTCTGGTGCTTTAAATTCCTGTTATTTTGCAAGGCATTAGTGACCTGCTGCCTTCATGTCATTGAATAAGACAATTCCAGGCATGCTTTTTGATTGTTTATTATGCTCTTAAAAGCTATGTTTACACAGCAGTAATATTTTGGAATAACTGACATTATTCCGAAGTAACGTAGTCCATATCTATACAAGCAGGTATTCCAACCTAATGTCGAAATAATGTTGAGCAGGAGGACTTCTCACTCTAACTCCTGTAACTCTCATTGTATGAGGAGTAAGGGAAGTCAGGGGAAGAGTGCTCTCTCTTGAAATAACTGCTATGTATACAGCTCCAAAAGTCGAAATAAGCTATTTCAACTTAAGCTACATAATTAGTGTAGCTCAATTTGCATAGCTTATTTCAAGTTTTGCTGTGTAGACATGCCCTATGTCATTTCTTATTGCTGGTCATCGGGAACGTTACATGACTAATGATGTATATGATGCATACAACCTTTGTCTGAAATTTCAGTGTCAAATAGCTTCAACAACAGTCACTGTGTGTGTGCTTTCTATCCTGTAAATGTATATGTTCTAACTTAGGCATGGAGAAATATTGATATTGATCAATCATCTCCAATAAATCTTTTAATTATCAGCTCCCACTTTGTCCCACTTATTTTTGGGTATAACACTGCTGGGGTCATCAACAAGAAGATCCCCAAAAGGTTTACACTCAATCTCTGAATAACAGCACAAGGAAGAGAACAGTCCTTGCACTGTCACCTCCTTCTTACCCTCCTAGACAGGAATGGGCATGAACTGAGCTCACTTCTCAAAGCCAGTGAAAACGTTACTTAGCAGCCATAATGGACTATGAGTGCTTAATCATTCCTGAAGGCTGATAACAATCCGTTCTCATTATGCTTTCTCTCCCCTTTTATTTAAGTTTCAAAGGATTTGTCTTGCTTTTGAGTGTTCCTTTTTGCTGGTTCCTGAATGAAGGGATAAAGAATGTGAGACCATCATAGATTGACTTTGGTCTATAGAAATAGAATCCTAATAAGCAGTTATGTCAGGTGATCTTTCTGAAAACAATAGAGATATTGGATTCCTCCAGAGTGTCTTTTCTTCATGCTCTTTCATATTCAAATGCTCTCTACAGTTCAACATACAATACCTTGTTTACAAACTGTGATGCAGGAAACACTTAAAGGACTTTCTTGTGAAAACTTGTCCTCATTTAATAGTTCATTTCCAAAGACGTTGCTTGACAGAACAGGGGAATGCAAACATAAGTTAATAAAGGCCACACTTCAGTATTGCTTTCCAGTTCATTAACTTCTCTTCCCCAGTGTCTAGATAATTAACTCCTGGCTGCATCCCTAGAGGGATGCCAAAGGCAAAAGTGAAGGCAGAGTCACCTGAAAAAGTCAGAGATCGTTGCTGTACTGCTCTCGTGGGTAGATAGGTCATAGCCCACCCCAAAAAAATGATCATGGGAAAGTAAAGACTGAAGAAGGTTTAAGTGATAATCTTCCCAGTGATTATACTGTTGGAATCGGAGGAGGGGGGAGAGTGATACATGAGTCTGTATTATTGTAGCCAAGAAAAATACAGTAGCTATTTGTCTTACTTCAGTAAAATCCCTGTGTTGTGGAGTATTTGTACTATCTGTCTTGGAGATACTGCACATTTCCTTTTAGAAGCACATTTGGCAATACAGGTTTAATGAGACCTGGGCTCCCCATCATTCTTCTGTTAACATGCTATCTTTACAATAGTGGTGGGCAACCTGCATCTTGCCTCTGCTGCTATGGCCACCTATTGTTCCCATTGGCTGAGAATGGTGCACTGCGGCCACTGGGAGCCACAGGTGTCCATACCTACGGACACAAGATAAATAGCTTGTCTGTCCACCCACCACTGGCTTACCCTAATGAGCCACATGTAGGTTGACCACCACTGCTTTGAAGACATACAAAGTCATGGAGCTTTATGACTCCATAGTTTCTGTTTGAAGGATGATATCAATGATACCTTCTGGGCCTGATTCACCTCTAGAAGCACTTACCCCTGTACTCATATGAGTTGTACCCAGAGGGATGTAAATTTTAGTTTGCAATAGAGTTCTGTGCACTAACTGGGTTATGTGGTACTTGCTGGCACACACTAAAAATTCCCAAAAGCATGTTAACATGGCATTGTTTGAGACGGGACTATATTAATGCACACTAGGGAACTCTAGTGCATACCACCAGGGTCCACAAAGGCCAGTCAACATGTCTGAGATGGACTAAACTATCATGTAGACATGCCAATGAGCTATCGTTCCCCCTCTCCTCGAGGAAGTCGCTCCAGAGCAGCAGTGAGGAACATTTACATGTATTTTAGGTTCCTTTAGTATTCTTGTTTTGTGGTTATACAGAGCACTTTGGGCTCCAGGGCTGTGACTCTAACATTGCCCATGAATATTCAGTTCATGCACATAAACAAATATTTTGTAAATTATGAAATAAAGGACAGATACTCAGGAAATAAGGTTAAATAAAACAAAGAAACAATGCCCAACAAGTTTATATCAGATAAAAAGAATTCTAATGTGTCTTACAATAAGATTGATGTATAGCAGAATGAACAATGTTCTAATACAAATGGGTGCTGTCAACCAAGAAATCAATCCTTTCATGCATACAAAACTGAATTATTCTTTGAATTTCTCATACAAATACCAACATGTAGCCAATCCACAATATTATTACAGCCTGCTGTGCTGTTGCTTTCCTTACTCTCATGTGTGACACCACATGAAATAAATAATTTATCTAAATATCATTTTTGAATTGCCTTTTGTTTGTTGCAGGGTGGAGGAGTTAAGTAACAAAACTCTGACAGCAGTGTGGATAGTTCAAATTGATAACATGCACCCAACAAATGAAACTAGTAAATCATGCACAGGTTGGTGGCTTTTACCTTGCTGTTGTAAAATTATTTTTTAGGACTTTTATTTTCAACCATAGCTAGATGGAATGTTCTCTTGAAATACTTTGCCAATGGAAAATGCATTTTCTGCTCAATCAAAATTTTCCAAGAGATTTTTTTTGGGCAGGGGGCAGTAAGTTTTTTGTTTTCAGGTCAACTCTGACTAAACCACAGCAGTGAATTATGGGAGTCATGTGGCCATGATGCATTGTGTCTCTAGTCTAGATATGTCAGAGAGCCTGACTCACAAAGGAAAATGAGGCATAAGGGATCTCAAGGCACCCAAAAAATAGCTTTGGTGAGTCACTGTGACAGATCAGACAAACACAAATTAATGTTAAACTAAGCTAAAACAAATTGTGTTCATTTGATTCAACAACTGAAACAAAATGTTTCAATTCACAATGTGATTTTTTCTTTTGATTGAAAATGTCAAAATAAAATATTTTGTGATTTCCAAATTAAAGTGTTTTGGAATTTTATCTTCTCCTCCTCCCCTGGCTCCCCAGTATGTTTAGATTTCAGCTTGTTGTTTTGATTAGGGCTGAAAACAAATTTTGAAATATCAGAATTTCCCCCAGCTTTATTTTCAACGTAGTATTTGGCCTTTACATATCTTACACTTCATTTCTAACAGAGCCCCGTTCTACATAGCACATGTCCTGTGCTGAAAAGTCTCAAAGGGGTAGCTGTGATTAGTCTGTATCTGCAAACACAGCAAGAACTCCTGTGGCACCTTAGCCCTGGTCTACACTAGGGAGTTATTTCAAAATCTTTCAAATTTTGAAAGAACAAGGGGAGCATCCACACTACCACGCCTGTCATTTCAAAATAAGGGGCTGATTATTTCAAAATAATAACTCCTGCCTTTCACAAGGAATAACACGTATTTTTAAATAGTTATTTCAAAATAGAGATAGTGTGGACGCTCTACTGCTGCTATTTCAAAATAACTACTCCCCAAAGTCATTCAAAGTAATTACTCCTCAGTGCTTCCTGGGGCTCTAAGCTGAGGTGGTGCATACTCATTAAGGGAACTTGCCTTGGACTAATTTTGAGGCTTCCTTGTAGTGTGGACAGCCTATTTCAAAATAGTTTTTTTCAGGAGTTATTATTTTGAAATAAGTTGTTTTGAAATAGTCTCTAAGGGCATGTCTACACTAGGAAATTAACAGATTTATTAGGGCATAAACTTTCAGGCGTAAATTCACTTGATCAGATGAATTGGAGTGGAAGTTACAGAAGATCTGGTATACATGAGAAAGAAGTTGCTTGTGTTAATGAAGCTAATCAAATGGAGGTGGAACATTTGTTGTGGAGATGTGAAGATCCAGAGAGGGGAAATTGTCTTTGTAATGCGTTAACCAGTTGAGATCCTTATTCATTCCTAAGCTGATAGTGTTGAATTTGCAAATGAATTCCAGTTCAGCTGTCTCCCTTTGTAATTGCATTTTGAAATTATTTTGTAGAAGGATGACTACTTTCAAATCCATTACTGAATGTCCTGTGCTGAGGTAGGTACATGCGCTGGCTCTAATCCTATACTACACTGTTCTCATGTAACTTTATTGAAGTCAGTGGCACATAATTTACAGCATGGATCTATGATACATGCTAGTAAGGTTATGCAACATTTCAACTGAAGTAAACAAATTTTACTCACACAGAGTTAGTGAGAGGCCCAGACAGCTCACATGTTGATTTACTTTACTCTTCAATTTGATGTGTGAAACTATTTTAAAAGATGAAATCAGAGAATGTACTACCCCTGAAACTGGTATTTGAAGAAGACACTATATCATTGCCTATAGTCAGGGCTCGACAAATTATAAAATCTACTCGCCCATGGCAAGTAGATTGTAACCCGGAAGAGACAGGTTCAGGCAATCTGCGCATGCACAGATTGCCGGACAGCGCAGCTGGTGAGCGGGGCTCGCCGCGGTTCTGAGAGCCCTGCCTATAGTGACAACACATAACATGGTGACTTAGGATACCTGACAAAGGTCATTTAGGCTACATCTACACATCACAGTTATTTTGGAATAAACTAGTCCATAAGAGATTTTATAAGAAGAGATAGCTTATATCGAAAAAATGCATCTGCACACAAAATGTGTTCCAAAATAGCGCTTAGCTATTTCAAAATAGAATGTCCACACTGATTGGATGCTGAATTGCATTTAAGGCCACCTGGAACCAGTTCAGGCAGGGCATCAGGTCAGTAGGTCCCTCATGTGGCTGCTGCTTGAGGCTATCTGAGGCTTGTGCTTAAAGGGTCCCCCTAGACAGCCATTTCTCAGGTTTCCCTGCTTGCTCACCTACCTCTCTGAGGGACAGAAAAGCCGTTTCTCTTCTTATTCTGGTTGCCCTGACTCAGGACACCACAGCACTCTCTGCTATAGAGCAGAAGCATCCTCCAGACAGCCTTCAGCTCTTGCAGCTTTTGCTTTTGCAGCAATTCATGCAACAGTTTCTGCATGCAGCCTCCCAGGCTCTACAGGAACCTAATCTCAAACCCTTGTGGCAGACCCTCCTCAGATATGTACAGGTACGGCTTCAGCAGCAGGATGCCACCCGCACTGCCCTGGGCACCATGCCCTGTAGCATCTGGCGTCTGGACACCAGTGTGGACTGGTGGGACCACATAGTTCTGGAGCACTGGGGAGACCAACAATGGCTCCAGAATGTTAGAATGAAAAAGGACACCTTCCTGGAGCTCTGAGAGTGGCTTGCCTCTGCCCTGAGGTGATGGGACATGTTCTTGGGTGTGGATGTGGTCTTTAGTCACTAGGCTGCAGCCATCCGACCATAGATGTCCACGTTCCTGTATCTGGTACAGAGATCCTGGAGGTTGTTTTCATCCCTCAAAATCTCAATATGGTTCAGGATCTCCACAGCAGACCAGAAAGATGCATGTCTTTTCTGGCCCCTGGCAGGCTTCTGGGAGCAGTGGAGGTCTGGGTGGAAGCAGCAGATAGACTCATTTCTGGGGAAAATTGAGTCATATGCAGCTGCAGGGTGGCTCAGG